TCAAAACTAAGATAAAAAAGAACATTATCCGCACAAGCTGCTAACATCACGAGCCGCAACTATCAACCGAGTGTATTCCACAAATAGAAATAGGTGAGCAATCGCTGTAAGCAACAGATAATAATGAAGCAGTAATTCATTCCACATTATCGATCGGTCGACTAACTAACCCAATATTGTTGTGAATCGACATGTACTGTAATCCAACTGGACTGTTCTATCGTCCAACGAGGATAACAAACGAATCGGCCAATTCTATCGTGTATCCAACTCGGATTCGAAATGTAAACCATATTCAAACTTGATGTGGGTGATTCCCCATAAAAAATTCGCTCAATATTCGTCTTGTCAACAGGTTCAAAACCTGAGATGTACCCAGCATTTCTATTCGATACAATCAAACGACACTACTGCAGTTTCCAATTGCATCTCGAGCTGCGTCGTTGTGTGAATGCTATCACCATTCGAAATGAAGACTAGCGTTTCTCTACGATAACCAGCAGTCCATGTCCGCGGTTGCACGCACCACTGCGTGTGTCTATCTCTCTATCTTTCTATCCATCCATCACTCTGCCTTTGTACGCTCATCATGACTCATGAAACACACCAATTTTGACCTCATCTCGCGCCTAACGCGAACTAAAACTGCGAACAATGCACGGAACGGAAATGGATTTCTTTGTTCTCCCGACTGCGATAGACCGATGGGACGAATGGGCAACAAACCTGTGTACAACGGAACACGAAGAAGCACTCGGAATAGACGAGTGCCAAATAGTCCGAAACGAGACACTGCAAAACACTACCTCTCACATTGGTTCACATTGGTGCGTGCGTCTTCCGGGGATGTCAACACAATCCTCATGTCTGATAAGATATGCACCCGCGGTCGCACCTTGTGAAGGCAAGGCCGGTTCGTGCGACGTTTCCAGTGGTGCATTCATTTCGCGCTAGCATATTTAGGTGAATCGGTTCATCTCACTGTACATCCATGCATGTACAGATGCGAAATGATAGGTGTCCAAGTACTATACAATACAATACTACTCTCAGCTTGAAATTAATTGGACTTCTACATTTTGAGGATTCTGAGGTTGCAAGTCGTCGTGAGATATTGGAAAATATGTCTGTAATATGAGTGCGCGAGCAGTAATATTTGGGCGATGCTTAGAATTTCGTCGATTATTTGCCACACTGATCGTCTCGGTCATGGACGCGCACACTTTGTCGTGTTCTGCAAATAGACTCTCACTCCAGTGGTCAGAGTATTGAATCGTCGTTTCAGAACTCACAGCATCTGACTGGTTCAGAT